CGGCGCGGGGCCAGGCCAGACCCCCTTGGGCCCCGCCCCGCGTCTGGTCGGCGCCGCAGAGTCCCAGACTTGACGTTCCCGTCTCAGCAATGGAGCGCAAAATTGCACCAATAACATCCACTGTGTGTAGTGTCCCCGACCGGCGTTACCCACTCATTTTCCTAGTAGGCCTTCCAAAGTAGGTATTTTAGCTCCACGTTAGAGCAGAGGCTTGGGTAAAATGACTTGCCCAGGATAATCCAGCTTCTAAGAACGAAAGAAGGATTTGAACCTGGATTCCGTAAGCTCCGAACGGAGCCTGCGCCTTTCCTCTGCACCATGCGGAATCCTGCTTCTCACAGTGCTTTTACTTCCTCTTCCAGTAACTAGTTTGAATTTGGAGAATGTGAATTTGGAGCTAGCGCCCTTGCTCTCACGGACGTTAGTGTTACAACGTGAAGTCTTTATCAGACTGTATTCTCCATCTGTATTGGAAGTGACACTGCTGTTCATTACCTGTAAGACATTGCGCAAGCAGCATAATCTTTCAGCGCTTCCTTTGATTTGAGAAACCGGCTCACCTCAGAAGTTTGAGAGTGAGGATTCAAAGAGAGAATCCACATACAGTGATACCATGTAGTACCCGGCATATGGGGAAAGTTCAGTAAATGTTAGCCATTATTTTATTAGTGGTTACCTAATGTACCCTTGCTAGACTCATCTGTCTTCAAAGGCCAACTTTTCTTGGGAGTAAAGCAGAGGGAGGACCCACCTTACTCCCAAAAAGAAAAGTTCATTGACAGCAGTATGATCTGAGTGTTTCATACTCTTAAAGATGGATTAGTCTGGGCACAGTGGCTCATGCCTATAATCCCAGCACTTTGGGAGGCCGAGGTAAAATGATTGCTTGAGCCTACGGGTTCACCGAGCAACTTGGTGAGTCCTCATCTCTACAATAAATCAAAAAATTAGCTGGACATGGTGGCGTATGCCTTGGTTCCAGTTACTTGGAAGCTGAGGTGGAAGGATCACCTGAGCCCAGCAGGTCAAGGCTGCGGTGGAGTGGTCATGAGCGTGCCCCTGCACTCCAGCCTGGGTGACAGAGTGAGACTCCGACTCAAAAAAGAAAAAAAAATGGATTAATTATTCTCCCAGCCAAAAGTACCAGGGTGAAAGAAGTCAATTCAGAAAAACTAAAAATGGATTACCCTTATGTAGAACTACCTTTTTTTTTTTTTCAGAGTCTCACTCTGTCCCCCCAGACTGGAGTGCAGTGGCAAGCTCATGGCCACCCCAACCTCGACCTGCTGGTTTTAGGTGGTCCTTCTGCCTCAGCCTTCCAAGTAGCTGGAACTACAGGCATGTGCTACTACACTGGCTTATTTTTTGATTTATTGTAGAGATGAGGTCTCACCAAGTTGCCCAGGCTATATGTCTTTTTTTTTTTTTTTTTTAAGAGATATGGGAAGCCGGGCTGGGTGGCTC